ACAATATTTATGGTGGCCAATTTAACTTTTCTCGACTCAACTTATGTCAAATAGAGGCATTATTAGCTATAGTTACTACAACAAGCCTTTGAAAGGGACAGGTTTTCATGCATGAATTTCTCCAAATCAGAAGCACTCCCTAACTAAAAAAAATTAAACACAGGTATAAAACCCCAACTCCTTACAAAGCTTCTTAAAACTTGTAACATCATCCTTATCTGTAGGTAAAGTTCTGATTTCATTTAATTATTGGTCTTTCATAAGAACACATAAAGTATTGATCACACTAACCCACAGGGATGTTGAGACCAAGCAAAGCGACCTTTGCAGCATCATGCTTTGCTTCTTTCTTCGTAGCACAGTACTTCATGTTGGTGAAAATCTGACCTTTCACAAACACCTGTGCACCATATCCACCCAGCACGCCAGGTACTTCACTGTATTTGGGAACATTAATTCGACTTTTTTGGCAATATTGGTTTAAGATGGTAAGGAAGTCCGCAAAGCCGCCTGGAATTGTGAAAACATAACAAGTAATCACAATTGACAGTCTTAATAGAATGTTATTGTTATATTAATTTGATTTCAAGTAATTTGGGGTTAACTTTAGGATGATTTTCAATTCCCGGTCTCCTAGCCCTAGGAGACAAACAAACTTGAGAATCAACGTAGATATAGTGACTTTGCGCTTTTTTAATAGACCCGTTTATCTTATCCCGTAATATTATTTTTAAAAGTGGTTCAACATGTTCAGACCTATTATCTAGGTTTGTACCCTTTAGGTAAAATTCCCTTACTTTGGAACACAGTCAGCTACTGCTACTGCAGACAACTTGCAACATCAAGTTAGTGTCCATAATAAGATGCCATAATACTGAATAGCTCAAATTGAACACATACTACCTTGATATTCATGTCCGCTACTCAGTTGCTTAAACTTACGGGCATCTTTTCTCTTATCATACATACTGCAGTTCAATTTAAATGTTACTGTAGGATGCAAACCAGTTGGCTACTTTACAAGCGTTGCCAGAGATTTGAACTCAAGACTACTGACAAAAAAAAGAGCTAGTGGTAAGGGCGGGACTTGAACTCGGAGCCCCTGGATTACAGCCCAATGCCCTAAAGGCTCAGGCATGCTTCCTCCTTATTTTTCCTTTGTTTATAAGTAAGTACAGGAGGTAGATAATGAGTTTGAAATAAGGAAAATACAATTCAATCCCTGCTGTTCTACCTGATGTCTTGTTTGTAAGGACAGCATACTGAGTAGCAATGGCCTGTATTCTTTCTTCATCTGTTATCTGAGGTTCTTGAGTATTTCTAGAAACCCCGAAAATATAAAGTATCAGATAAAATAGCCTGCATAGCAAGCATTTCCATGTGGTTTTGCAGCAAAGAATGAGAAACGACAGTCAAAGACTGCGCGAATATCTTTGTTTTAAATTTCACACTCTTTTGTTTGAAACATTTTATCATACATTATCATACCCCATGACAATGGAAAATAAAATTTAAATGAAGGATAAAATATAGCCACAACATAAATATATCCATAGTGGGACAGTAATAATAATAATAACAAAATTATTATATTCATTCAAAATATTTCTCCGTTTATGATTGGCTAGTCAACCGAATTTGGAAGAATCTTGCGATATGTGAACTGATGAAATCAATCATGCAGCCAAATTGTCAGATTATTGAACTGTTAACCGAGAAGACCTAGGGACGAGGTTGAGTTGTTTTGGTAGTGAACACAAAATGGCAGAACATTCCCATCATTTCACGAACTATTGGCTAAAAACATAGCAAGAACAGTAAGAAAACAACTTGAATATGGTGGCCGAGCATTCCGCAAAAAATTTGGCCAGATTTGTGCTGCGATTTCAAAAACAAAAAATAGCCTGCGTAGCAGGTGTTTGGAAGTATTAAATTGGCGCAAGAAAGAACGGACGCGTAAGGGAGACATACGAGAGGGGAGAGGGAGCACCTGCCTAGTGGCCCAGGAAAATCATTTCAACTCACTTTCTGGAAGTGCGGACATTCCCAATTGGTCGAGAGCTCTACTGAGGTAAAAAAATAATCATGCTGGGCGAGAAAACTGTCAATCAAAGAAAACACAAGATCGTTTGTAAACATGTAGTACATGGAAAAGGCAATTAAAAACCTCTTATTAGCCGAGTTTTCGGTCCGTGCTGTAAATTACAGACCGAGTTTTTTTCCATCGATTTATGGCCCATGCGCGAAGCGCGCGGGCCATAAATCAATGGAAAAAACGAGAATCCGTAATTTACAGTACGGACCGAAAAAACGAGGCTAATAAAATGTTTATTATATGGCTTCTTCCTGTTTGGGGGACCAGAAACAAGTGCAGGACGTACAATTTGACAGGCATTTGACAAGCGTCAAAAAAGAAAGTTTTTATTGGCGCACGAAAACAATAGCAGACAACAAAGGGTTTCCGAAAAAGTAAAAACAAATTCGCCATGTTGAAAAAGTTTATTCAGTGAAAACTAAGAACACTGTAAGTTTAGCTCTTAAATGCAACGCTGGAGTATTTTGGAAACCGGACACTGTGTCTGTCTAGAAGTCGTTTCCATCTTTCTTCCTTTTGTCCTTGTAAAAAAAAAAAAAAACACTGGAACAGGCAAAGAAGCTTTTCAAAGTAAGTTTGTTGTCATTGAAGGATTCGCTTGTTAATTGTTCTTGGGAAAACCTCTCTTTCTGCCAGTTCACTCTCATCTTCAGTTGTGATCTGAGTTAAAATTTTCAAACCCTGACTAAAATTCTCTTTCTCGGTAAGGTTACAATTCAGTTTCTACTTCAGCTTCGTTCTCATTATAACAAAGCTAGGTTAAAATTTTGGAAAGGCAAAGTCAACATCCCAGTCCTCGGGGTTTACAGACATATTTTAAAGTTTATTTGGTCAAAACTAAGAGCACTGTAAGTATTCACTCGTTAGTGTGACGCTGGAGTCTTTTGAAAACTGGACATTGTGTCTGGCTCAAACTCGCTTCTATCTTTCTTTCGTCGGTCTTTGAAAAAACACTGCAAATGGCAAAGAAGCTTGTCAAGATGATTGGGTGTAGGTATGTTTGTTATCATATTTGTCGAAGGAATTACTCATTTCTCTTAGGCAAAACATCTCGAATCTCTGCCAGGCAATTTTCGTCTTCTTAACTGTGTACTGCGATAAAATTTTCAAACATTTGACTAGAATCCTCTTCGATAAGTTTACGAGTTAGTTTCTTCACCGCCTTCGTTCACAAATAAACACAGTTTAAAATGTTGAAGGCCAAAGTCAACATCTAAGTCCTCTAGGTTGACAGCCGTCTTATAATTTTATTTAAACCTTTTTTCCGAGGGAAAGAGATTTAGAGCTCCGAAATGAGTATTTTCTTTAAAACTTTTGGTCCGCATAGCAAGTTACCGACCGCAAATTAACCAATCGCTTGGCGAAAACAGACTCAGCCATATCATAAGGTCTTTTATTACACCACTTACTGGTACAGTCGACTCTTGATAACTCCAACCGTCAAGGGAAATCGAAAAAAGTTTGAGTTATCAGGAGCTCAAAGAAAATAGCCGGGAGTAATGAAAAAACAAATGGAGCCTAAATGGAGCATGCGTTTTACTGTTTTGATAAGTGAAGCTGTTTCACATTAGATTTGTGACAAACAACATCAGCCTTGACCACTAGTCAACTATACTACAACACGTAAATGGGAAATTCAAAATTTTCAGAAATTTTTTCCCAACTTTTTACGGGCTCAAAACAAGGTTCGAGTTATTGAGGGTAAAATTATACAGAAATGATCTGAGGGGTAACAAAAACTACTTCGAGTTATAGCGGGAGGTTTGAGTTATCGAGGGTTCAAGTTTCCGAGGGTAAGGTTACAGTAAATGTATGATGGAAATCCAGGGGGAATCAATTTTGGTTCGAGTTAGCGAGGGTTCGAGTTATCGGGAGTCAACTGTATAATCGAAGTTCAGATCTTGGAGGTCACTTCAATGGGACTATGTGGCTGTAATCTAAAAGAAAAGTTTGAGTGTTCAAACGGTGTTCACAAAGGAACTATTTGACATCAAATATGCATTAGCAGAAGCAGCGACAGACAAAAGATTATTTTGTCCAATCGTTGAAATGAAGATTAGAGGAAATATTCTTTGTTTAAAAAGAAATTGGGGGCTGGTTGTCGATGGAATGCATACCATCAAAACCTAGACAGGTTTGACGAAATGAAACACTTACCAGGGGTATGAATTTGAAAAACCTTTCGCTATTGTTATTATTTGTTCGGAGGTGACCTGAGGTGCCATTTTCATATCTCATTACTGCATCCTATAAAGACCAGAGGCACCCAACGAGAATATAGTTATAAACCACTTCAACAAAGCATTGTTAAACGTATTTTAGTATTTAAACGGTAGATATAGGCATAATGTCTATCCCCTAAAAATTTTTCATCTGTTCGGATTTCCTAGCTGAAAGTCTAGTGAATCGAAAGTTAGAGGGATCAAAACTTACCTTTTCGAAAATTTCAATCAGAAATAAGGCTTCCGAAAATTCTAGGTGACCCTTTTAGGGTAAAAATCCGTTAAAAAGGGGCAATTATACATGATTTTTTAGATGTTCGAAAATCCTCGGAGAGACAGGCAAGAAAGAAATTTTACATCAAATGTTCCAAAAATTCTAGATCTCAAATCGTCTTCGGAACAGATACTTTCCAAAAATTGACTTTGGGTGTCCCTGAAAGACTTCTTGGTACAGTTTACGTTCTGAAGTTTAGGTCCGTTTAGTAAGACATGTCGGCTCTAAAAACGGCTGCCACTCTTAAGCGGAAAAAGCAGTGGCCATTTTCCATGTACACTGTGATCTGTTGTATACAGTTGTGATTTTGTAATCTCAGAGAATAATATTTAGCTTTTTATAATAGACAGCATGCACTCTTTACAAAAATATCCATTTTTGACGTTGTTTTCATCTTATTTATCGTGCCTTTGGTTAAAAATGTCGAAAAATGATTAATGCTGTGTGTTTCTCGTCGGTTTATTGTTCCACTGCTCTACTATTATCAGATAGCCTAGCTGATCTTTATAACAGATATATAATGGTATAAATGTATGGCACTTTGCCACGCTTTAATAGTTTTCTGTCAAAAATTTTGACTGATCACGCAGTGGCCGCCAAGTAATTGGATAGGGGCGGGAAATAATTTTCATGGGCCTCTCAGGTAGCCTGCGTAGATGGCGGTATTGTGTTGGTGTGATTAAAGTTTTGGCCGCGACCCAAAAAATATCAAAAAAACATTTTATTGTCAACAAAATGTAAATAACAATAGAAAAAAATATTTTTACAACCAAAAGGAGAATAACAAAACGTGTCAACAAAATAAAATAAATGCACTTGAAAAACAAAACGCAAAAACCCTTAAAAACTACGACTGTAAAAGCATTTTGAACTTTCAAATTGCCGTGAAGAACGTGGCCAATAATTCGTGTACAACATCTTGAAAAGAAAATGGAAAAGAACAATGAGAACGACCGGCCGATCATCCTCAAAAAATTGTTGAAATCAAAAATGAAAAACCGATCTCATGGCTCGTCATATCTTTGACCAGCAGCCCTATCAGGCCATGTTTAAAAGTCGGTCGGTGCTGGTTACTGTGCTTTCAATTCAGCGATTTAGAGGCCGGCAGTTACTACCTGTTATGGCTTATACAGGGAGGCTCTTCCCGAAAGGGGTACCTTTTTAAGGCTTCAGGTAAATAAAAAGGTAGGGATTTCACTAGTTCAAGTATATGAAAGGGTAAGGGAATATGTCATTTCAGTCTATAAAAAGGCCCAAAAGGACTAACACAGGACGAAAAAAAAATAGTCTAAAGAAACTAAGTACTTCCACTTTGTGGGAAAAAGGGAACATATAGCCCGCCTGCTGAAATCAGCTGTGGTGAAGACATTGCAAGATCTCATGGTCTATCTTATCACTTTTATGCTGATGATACACAGCTATATTTATCTTTTGAAACGTCATCGCCTGAGGATTTGTCAACATGTACATCTGCTCTTGAAGATTGTGTTAAAGATATTGACCTTTGGATGTTAAATAACAAGCTGAAGCTGAACAGTGGGAAGACTGAAATTATAGTTTTTTCATCCTCCTATCGCCCACGTCCTGCGTTAAAAAACCTGGTGATTGCCTCTGACACTGTTGACTGTTCAACTACTGCTAAAAATATTGGGGTTATTTTTAATAACTCTCTATCGATGTTGCCGCACGTTACTGCTGTTTGCAAGTCTTCGTTTTTTCATTTACGCAATATTTTTAAGATTCGCAAGTTTCTTTCTTACGATACATGTAAAACTCTAATTCATGCCTTTGTTACTGCAAGGATCGACTATTGTAACTCATTGCTCTACGGTCAGCCTAAATGTATCTTGAAACGTTTACAGAGTGTCCTAAATAGTGCTGCTAGGCTTATTCACCTTACTAGTAGATATGAGCATGTTACGCCGTTGCTTATTCAACTTCATTGGCTACCAATTGAACAAAGGATAACTTTCAAAATTGCAGTAATTACAGTTAAGGCGCTTCATGGTGCTGCACCTAGCTATATCACTGATCTCATCAAGCCTTATACACCTGGTAGACTTCTTAGATCCTCCAATCAATTTTTACTTTCTACATCTAAATTTCATCTTAAAACTTATGGTGGCCGGTCTTTTACTATTGCTGCACCTTCTGTTTGGAATGAACTTCCATTCGAACTTAGATCTTGTAATTCCCTTTCTTCTTTTAAATCTAAGCTCAAGACTTGGCTTTTTAAAATTGGTTATGATGTTGTCGCATAGAATGATGATGTTTTTATAGGATGACAATGTAGTTTTGTAGTTTTGTAGGTTTAGGATTTTGTTGTTATTTTTATTATGTGAAGCGCTTTTGGACCATTGGAAATTTTTATAGAATGACAATGCAGTTTTGTTGGTTTAGGATTTTGTTGTTATTTTCATTATGTAAAGCGCTTTTGGACCATTGGGAATTAGCGCTCTATAAATACTGTATATTATTATTATTATTATTAGAGATACATGGAAACTAACAACTGCCAAATTGCTACAAACAAATATAACAAAATTAACAAATGAAATAAAAGTTAAGACATTGAATGAATACCGGCCTAGATTGATTCAAATTTGCAATGAACAACCAAATATATCTCAGAGAAACTACCCACAATTCCTCCTAGCCAACTCAGTCCTCTGGTCTGTGCCGGGAAATAGCCATTTCTGTCTGTTCTGTCATACTACGCTGTCAGGAATACCATTTTACAGCAGATAAACGGGATGCAAAGTTCTACACTAGGTATGTGAAAGGGGTACCATTTGTCAATGGAAAGTTATAAAAGGTGTACAAAAGGGGTAAAGGTTTGGTCCCCAGGGCAGAGCCCAGTACAAAACTTTGTTCAGTCCCCTCTTCCCCCCACGGGTTCAGAGGATTAGAAGCGAGACAAGTGGAGCAGGTATACCTGCCTGTCTGCATTAAGTTTGGAATGAGTTGTACCCGCACAAAAAGATGTCCAAAAAATGGATCAGAAATGAAGCTGGTGATCCATGACTGTACCGCAAGAGATAATCATTCAAAGGCTCTCATCAGAGCCCAATAGCAAGCAACCCTTGGTCTCAACCAAAGGTCCTTTCGCCACAAATATCAACCAAATACCACATAGGAAAGATAAAGTAAGTTCGCTGATGTTGCGGTGCGGTTGTGGATCACTTCTGCGAAGTCCTGGGGGGGTATTCCTGGCAATTCCTGGTGGAGGTGTGCTGCCCAGTTCTCCAATTCCTGATCCTAGTTCAGACCAAAAATTGGCACTTTTCATACCTGTTTTCAGACCTGGCCTCCAAGAAATTTTGTCATCGTTACTTAGATTAGAAAAGTAACAAAAAAAGATTTCTTAAAATCCATTTTATAGTCGCACATTTCTCTTTCTTTCTTCCTCATTTGGAATTGAAACGACAAAGACGTTTATACACTCTAGTAGATCCCTGGAAAACCATACCCATTTCACACCAAAACGACGCAGAACCCTACCCTTTAGGGCAGTACATACCTACATGGCTTATATAAGGGAGTACCCCTGCCCCCAGGTCTGAAATACTAGCTTCATTTCTGTTCCTTTTATTTGACATCTTTTCATGCGCCAGTGCAGCTTTTTCCAAACTTGTTGCCGATGGGGAGACAACATATTCTTGAGAATTGTGCCTCTACGGTAGAACCTTAATAACTCAAACTCCGATAACTCGAACTCCCTTTTAACTCAAACTAAATTTCATTTCCCTTGATCAAAATTTCACTAAAATTTACCCCGATAACTCAAATTCCCCGCTAACTCAAACTGGTTTTAGTTTCCCTGGAGTTCTACCGTACTTGCTTTGCTTCTTATCCTCTGAATGGTCCTGAATCACAGGTGGAAAATCATAAAACGACAAACTGATCCTTACGACAAGGCGATGAAGAAGTAAACAAAACAATAAAACAAATTGCTGAATCAAAAGTGCAGTAACCAGCACTAACTCGACCAACTCGTAAACTGCTGACTATGGCCTTGGCCTTATAGGACAGCTGGTCAAAGATATGACGGGCTATGAGAACGCTTGGCAGGCTTCGAACATTTCATTTTCAAAATGGAAACAAAATGTTTGATGACAGCCTGCCATTTTCATAGCCCATTACATCTGTGATCAAAGTAAAAGATGATTAGCGGCTGGTCGTTCCCACAGGTTTTTTTCATTTTCCATTTCAATATTTTTTTCAATATTTTTCTATTATTTTGTTGTTTTCTCAAGTGCATTTATTTCATTTTATTTTCATTTTCTCGGTATGGTTTTATTATTATTATTATTATTATTATTATTTTGGTTGTAAAAATATTTATTTCTTTTGTTATTTATATTTTGTTGACAATTTTTTTTTAAGTTGCAGCACAAATCTGGCCAAATTCTTTGTGAGAATGCTTGGTCACCATACTTGACGGATGACATCTGCTATTTGGAGAATATTTGCAGAACTGAACAACTCTTTATCTCCTAAACTTGCAAATAAACATGATGCTCTATTCATAGATGAACTTAATAGATGAACTGTAAGCATCTTTAGCTTGTTTTTAAACTAGGAATTATTTTGAATGAATAATAAACAATATTATTGAAAATGAGGTTTTTGCATCATTTGAAGAATTATGGAGATCTCAGAGGGTGATAACACCCTCTGAGATCTCCATAATTCTTCAGATGATACTCAGCCTCATTCAATAATAAAAAAAAATTGCTAATTATTATTACAATTGTATTATTGTTTATTGTTGCTAATAACTGAGCCTGTTTGCAATGAAACAGATAACATTATTAGTAGCAAGGCACACTTACTCTTCAGCTTCCCTTTTCTCTTGCCGTTTTTGAGAACGTTTTAGGTTCTTCTTCTGTGTTGCTGTTAAACTAAATTGAAAAAGCCCTTTGTAGTTAAAGTAATCTCAAAAAAGCTATTGAAGGTCGCTAGAAATTATTGATGACTAGTAATACAGCTTCATGAAATGAAAAATACCTTTATGTGCCACTCAATTCAAAACTTCAAAATCCCCTATTACATTAGACCATCACTTGTGCCCAAAAAGATGCAAAAGGCATTTTTCAGGGTAAGGAATTTTAACTGGAAGTGTCACGTTTAGGGACATCCCTTTCCCCATATCTGAAAAATTTCACTCCCACCAAAAAGATTATTTTCAATAATAATGCTGTCCAAGTGGATAACAGTTTTTCCTCGGGAAGGTAAACAATCAAGCACCACTCCCCAAACGTGGTTAGCCTTATGATTAAATGATAGTTCCACTGTACTATCTGGATTTTACCATACGATGATAAAGTTTGTCAGTCATGAATTGTCTAGGACAGATTGGCAGGTCAAGTCAGGGGTGTCACCATCATGTCTGCCCTCGTACGTCCTTTCCCAAATCAACCTTTCTTAACCCTGTGGGTAGTGGTTTCTCCAGGCCAGACATAATGCTACAAAAGGAGAGAAACCACTCCGAAGCAACCCTTTCATCACATGCCCTTCCATTGAACATGTGCATTCACATGACGCTTACATCAAAACGTCCAGTGAAATCACTTCCTTTTGTTTCACAGGAAATAATAGGAACTTAAAGACCCAACAACACGATGGCAATGAGAACATTAAAAAAGTATAGGTTTAATGAGCAAAACAACAACCTAACATGGGCATCACACTTTTTGGTACACGTCTTTGCTGTCTTTGCCTAACTACAATGTGAAAATGCCTAATTCAGAGATTTATGGGGAAAGTAAACAAGCAAGGACTAAATTATATTTCTGTTACTGAATTTGGATATCGTCCTTATGAATTCAACTCCACCAGCGTTTGCCTACATTTGACAAAGTAAGTGGGACCGCACATTATTATATGACTGTTGTTACTCACCCTGAGGCATCAACTGGTCTAGAAGGAGCAGCGTGTGCTTGAAGCTGAACCTCTTGCATAGCTTGTACAATATCATAGGCATCTTCTTGTTCATTAGATGGTTCAGATCTTGCTATTGAAAAGGGTTCACTAACAGCCTCTGAAAATGAAACAGCACTTAATATTATTATATTGCTGGTTCTATAAGAGGCAATATTAAGCAATTCCCTTGTTCTGGTTGGATATCCAGGTGGCCAAGATGGGTATATCTTGCCTTCTCCAGTTTTGGTCCTGCAAAAAAAAGGTTTTCTTGACAAAGATCGTGATAAATACAGTATTGACCACTTGGTTAAGATGGGTAGATATTTAGCCTTGTTCTCTCGCTTTTTTTTACTTTTGTTGACCTCAGCTTTATCTTGGTCCATAAAAACACAAAAATAACTGATCAATAATGCATATATATGTTTAATTTACACCTTTGAAGAATGGTTCTTGCTCATTTGCATTATGTCGGGTGAAAGATAATGATCTTTAGGCTAGTTGAGGCTTTTTGTTGGTTTATTTTTTGTTTCATTCCTGAGAATGTAAAACTTCAAATAAAAGTATCAAATACCAGACTCCCAGTCCTCAGTACTGTCAGGTTGAATTGTTGGTGTTGGCTGTGGTTGGCACATTCGTTTGGCTTCAATAACATCCCGATTGAAAACTGAGAACAGTGAAAACAATGATTGGTATAAAAAATGTTAGGTAAAGCCATGCACTAGTACAAATGTATGTACAGTCATTAATGTCTTAAAATGATAGTTCAATCAATGGAAATTTTACAGGTGAATATGGCTCTACCAGTACAGGACTATAAAAACAATGATTGTAACCAGATAATAGACCATGGGGACAAAACAAAATGTCCTTACAAAATATTTCAACCCTATATTTCATGTTGTTTCAAAAAAAATTCTCCCAGTAGGCAATAAAAGAACACAACTTCCTCAAAATAAAGCATTCCCAGGAATAGGCCCTTAAGTTTGCAGCTACTAGCTAGACATACTTGGGAGCGATGGATGCTCCGGGACAAGACAAACAAAATTTCTCTAATGTGTCCCTTCCTCTCCTGCATGGTGGTTTTGTACCATGTGAATGACTCTAGATGCAAAGGGCCTATTACACAGCATTCTTCCAACAATTCTCTGGCTCGAAATAACAGCCGGCCAACGGACAATGTCCGGACTGATCGGTGAGTTGACTGGTCAACCTTTTTCCGGTCATGTTGACTGGTCACATTCGATTGTATTGAAGTGAAACAAATTAAAATTTCCATGCTGTTCAGTTGTTTCAGTTGTTATCAGTATATAGCAAGTCACTGTGTATTGCAGAACTTTGATCTGAAATCCTGGGGGAAATGCAACTATAACCATTGTTTACAATTCACGTATTGAAACAGACATCGGGGTTCACACACTTTCGGTCACAAAATTAAAAATATTTTCACTTTCACTAGTCAGGCAACAACTTTTTAATGGACATATATGACACCAGTTTTGGTTCATCGGCCCTTGTTTGAAATGAGTTATTTATCTTATAAATTTGACCAGCCAGAAACTATACGTGACTGCACTAAAATGAATTTGGCCAGTCATCATGTCCGAAGCCTCTCCAGCAATTATTTCAAGCCCGATTCTATGCATATTTTTTTGCATGCCATAAACATACCTTCTTCAAGGTCCTGTCTGATACTATCCTAAAAAAACAGATAAAAGGTATTCCAAGAGAGTTCAGTTGAAAATAAGAGGTAGATACAGTCGAACCTCCCGTAAGCGACCATCCAAAATGCAAACCCTTGGTGGGCGCTTACAGGAGGTGGTCTCTTACAACAGTCAGAATGCAAGGGTTAAATTTTTTAGGCAACCTAGAATGGAGTGGTATATTTATTCTAAAAAAATAGCGAAAGTTTGATTTCCCCTGCCAATTACTGGTAATTTTATTGACAAAATCATTAGCTATTCTATGTGACAGTTCATTTACGGAA